TGATCGGTTATAAATCAATATTATTATAAAATCAATATTAACGAAACTATGTGACAACTATCTTCGCAGGAGTTGGTTGTCACACAGGAATGTGCTTTTAAGACGTGCTGTTGCGTCAAAAGATCTCAATATTATGAAAACTGTAAGAGTTTTACCGCAGATAGTTAAGCCATTTAAAGTTCGTATTTTTATTTTAAGAAAATTAGCAGCAGCATAAAATCTAAAAATTGCATTAACTAACTCTGTTCTTTTCTTTTCTGTATTCAAAATATAATGCTTAAATGAAATTACATTAAACTTTAAATATAATTGGTGTCTGATTAGTGTAATCTTATTCTTTTTATTCTTTTAGTGTTGAGATAAATATCTGGTATTTTATTCAAAAACACTGACAACGATTGATTTATATTCAAAGACTGTATTCTAATACTTTTATAGTATAAAATTATTAGGCTGCGTTATCATCAGTATAAATTATACTGATGATAACGCAGCCTAATACGTTTATACTGATGATAACGCACGTGTTACTTTTAAGTTTAAAGTAACGCGTTTGAATTTTAAACGCGTTTTTATCTTTTAATTTTAAAAATTGTGTGAAGAAGCAATAAATAGGGCTGCCAAAAATCGTGAATATATCTGCCCCAGTAGCCATACCCAAACGAACAGACGGGTACACGGGTTCCCGTTAAAAAAAATCTTTCTAAAAATTTTTTAACGGGAACCCGTGTACTCGTTAAAAAAATTTCTGTTTTACTTTTTTTTTAAAGTCATTAAAAACTTTTCTTTCAATGATGTCATTTATTTAGAGTTATTCTATTTCACTTAAGGTAAAGTGAAATAAAACTTTGAAAAAATTGACGCAATTTTGATTCGAAATATATAGCTGCCATAAACTGATAAAAAATCTATATAGTTATATAATACTATTGATATATAACTTTGTTGTTGGTGTGCAGCTCTTAATGTTACCCTCTGTATGGAGTAGCGTTGACATTATTTTAAGCCGTAAATGTTCATTTACATTGTGAGAGGTAATTTTTAGATTTTTGTTTTCAAAAAAGAAACAGAGAAAAGATAGCACCAACCTACATTTTCGTTTTAAAAAATAAAATCTTTAAAAGTTGTAAAATTGCTGTGAAAATGAAAATAATTTTATTATTTGAAAGATGCCAATTTGCTTTAGTTCTGATAGTGTACGAACATAATAAAGTTAATTTATAATTAAAACCTTTTTTTACTTAACAATGTCTAAGAATTTTCAAACTATTAGAATCTTCTATACATTATTGACGCACTTATATGAGCCCGGAGAAGTCTCAAAGCATTGTTATTTTTGCAGAATTTCTTTGTGACAAACTTTTATTTGTTAGGTTTAATTTTTGAAACAATAAGATTTAAAAAAAAAAGAACTCTTGTACTTTACATTTTCAGCTTCTAATGCTTTGCTCTTGTCAGAATTACGCAACATTATGGTGAAATTATGCAACATTATAACGTTTTGCAAGTGTCGGTTTTTAGATCTGTTGATATTTGATGTATTGATATATATTATTTAATTACATTTAAATTAAATCTTGTTTTTTCCTTTGTTTGATTCAATTTTTATTTAATTGTCGAAGATTTATTATGTAGAATGTTCAGCTAGTTTATGGTTGGTTCTTGGCCTATGGGGTGACTTTTGAAATGAAATTTTAGTCAATGTTACCACAAAACTGAAAATTACGTATTAAAAAGGAAATTCTAAAAACAAATCTTTAATACTTAGTATTTAGAACTAACATCAGATAAATACATCTAAAATATCACAGTATGTTTTTTATTACAGTTTTTACTAATCTTTTGACTAATCTTTTAAGTTTTTTTAGCAACAAAAAAACTAGAAATAAGTTTAATTTATGCATGCTGTTATTTATACTTATTATTATCAAAAAAAAAATAGTTTCATTGTCAAATAAAAATAGTTTTATTGTTGATTCAAAATCTGGCTGCAGCATCTGTTAAAATATTATAAACAATAGCTAACGGGTAACGGGTAAAACATTTAGTCTAACACATGTCAATGTTCCCCACATGTCAAAGTAACCTATATACCTAAACTTTATTTTTTAAAAATTTAAAAATGAATAAAATTTTATTTAAGTTATTTAGAAGTAAAAAGAAGAAATAACGGCAACTAATTATTGTTTTCACAACTAATGGTTTTTGAACACTATGAAATTATTGTATGAAACATTAAAATTTAATGAATAATTCATAATGAATTTAATGAATAAATTAATAAATAAAAAATAATTTAATGAATAAATTAATAATAAATTAATAAAAAATTACGAAATTAAATTAACAAAAAAAAAACTTAGCTGCTGAAAAGAATTAAAGCTATATATATATATATATATATATATATATATATATATATATATATATATATATATATATATATATATATATATATATATATATATATATATATATATATATATATATATATATATATATATATATATATATATATAAACCTTATAAAATTTAAATAGATACACAGCAAATTTTAGAGTAAATTAAAAAGAGACATATTAAGTATAAATGGCAACCCTAACGTATTATTATTCGCCGACAAAACAAATTGTATTTGCCAAATTTCCACTCAGAAACACACTAAACTTCTTAACGAAAATATCACAAAAGCGTATAAAAAAGCCCCACAGAAACTCGAAAACTCCATTAACCTCGAAGCCAAAAATATAGCAAACACACTCTCAACTTATGCAAACGAATAAAAGTAATCACAAAATCTGAAGTTTTTATTACACTAAAAGACCACATAGACTCATTCCAAAACAGTAAATCCTGCAGTATATTAAACCCCAATAAAAGTGAACTTGGTCATAATAAAAAAGTAAGAACCATATTAAATTTAAATCAATGGAAAAATACCACTGATGCAATCAACTGGTTTGAAAATATACCAGAAAAAATAACATTGTGTTTTTATTCAACTTGTCGATTTTGACTCCACTATTACATCAAAAGTACTAAGTAATGCAATACTTTTTGCAAAAAAACATACAAGTATTAGCGAAGAGAACATCAGATTCATTAAACATTAGGGTGTGTCAAACTTTTTGAAAATTGAATTTTGCTTTGCATAACTAAAAAAAAGTGAGATTTATCATTAAAAGTTCAAAACTGGTAATTAAGCAAAAAAAAAAAAAGTTTTAGCTACTAGGGAATCAGTGACAGTGTTCTACAAAAAAGCCCGGGGGGGGAGGAGTAAGTGGATCTGAAAATTGTAAAATTTATTTTACCTTTTTATTTTTAAAATTGTTAAAAGTGTTTCCTATTTCTAAAACAACAATTTTTTTTTAATAAAAGTATCAAAAAGGGTCTTGCCCTCTTCTTCTTCCCCTTCCCCCCAGCTAACCGCTGAAAGTTTAAAAATGAGATAGAGAAAGTTAAAATGTGTTATAAAACTAAACATAGAATGCTTTTTATAAATCCATGAAACATATTTACTGGCACAATAAAATACAGTACAATATTATCAGTAAGATTATTTCTTAAACACTGTCAAACCAATAAGGTTTTTTTTGGATAGATTATGTGACATGAGTTCTGAGATAACTCTAGTCCTTTAATCTAACTATTTCTCCTATCTTCTGTGAAAACATTTTCACATGCCTGGGTAATTTTTTTTACACATGTTTTGACAGCTTGAGTGTGGCAACACCAGTTTGGAACAATCATTGGTTTAAAAAAGTACTCTTTGATATTTATAGTTGTCATTCAACAAGTTAATGGTGGTTCAAAAGCTTCATTCCAATCAATAAGATCTTTGAGAAAAATTGCTTTAGTGTTGATATCTGGTGTCCTTCTTTGTCTAACAGATAGTTCTCCCAGTTGTACATTTTTATCACCTTCTCCTCTTATTTCAAGAATTTTATTTACACTGAAACTTCTCTCTTCTTTGTTCTCAGAACAAAGCATAGTTTGAAGAATAGACTCAGAGAAGGCATACCAAGCAGACCGCTTAATAGTAGAAATGACTATACTCTGAATATCTAGTGACTGGTGTTGAAGAAATTTAAGCAGGTAAAGAACATGTTTTGGTACTTCTATCCAACTCTGCTTAACTTTGATGTTAAACCAGACAGGAAAGTACACTCCTAAAATATACTCTACAAGTTTCAGAAGGTTTTGGGCAGCATTGCCTTGAAGACCTCGTTGATATACCCAAATTCTACAAAATCTATTGGCTGTTGTTAGCCATCTAGCTATGTTAACAGGGCCAATTTCAAGAAGTTCTAGTTGCTGAGGAACATGGCCACTACGTATAGCTTTAACTATTTGATAGCCATAATACTGATCAGTAGAAAGGTCTTTCACTACATCATTACTTAATTTAATAAGAGGCTCACCAATTTCAATCTTATTAAAAAACGGGTTAATTTCAAGATTGGTTGCTTCTTCAAGTAAGCTCCCAATAGGTTCACTCCATTTTTTACCATTTTTAGATTCTCCATCTAACAATTTAATTAGATGTTTTAATGGTAGCTTATTGGTGTGTAGAGCACAGACAATCCAATTTAACTTTCGTCCTAAGTTTAGCTCCATTAAGTGCATTACTCCTCCTTCCCAACCAGTGTTTACATTGGTAGAGTCTTCACCAATTACTGTTAATTGTCTCCTAATTTTTCTCATTTCAGTATACTCAAAGATTTTATCTGCAATAATTTCAGCATGTTTCTTTTCTGCTTCTTTAGCTGGTGTGAAATGAAATAAATACTTTCTTTAATGATAAACTACAACATTTCTTATCGCTTATTTTCTATATAATGTCTTCATAAAGTTACAATAACGTAAATATAGTTTTAATTAAGATCTCCATCTCGGAGCACATTCTTACATCTTCCCCTTTTTCTGTAATTGAAATGTTTTGTTTGTGTTTTATAATGTTTTAATACTTCCTTCATGATTCTATAGGACATCTTTCTCTGTTAGGATATGTCTTCAGAATCGGTTCTTGATGATAGCTTCTTAGTTGTGTCGGCATAGTAGCTGTTATTTCCTTTTCTGGCAAAATTGATTCGTTCTGGAGTTTCTTCATCTTTCTCTTCTTTAATTGGTATCGGATTAAATTGTATATCCGTTGGTGCTTTCTTCATGTGTGAAGCATTTCGAGTTTTTTGAGAATTGTTGACGGGAGATTTTGAAGTGATCATTGTACCATTCTTTGCAGTAATTGTGTAGGGTTTGAACTCGAGTGGTGCCGTAATTTTGTTATATTTTTTTTGTTTTATCAGTACTGTATCTCCGATGTTTAAACTTGGATTTTTTGCGTGGTATTTTAAATCGTGATATTTTTTTCTGTATAACTTAGCATTTTCTTGTCTCTTTTTGGCTTGATCATTGATATTTGTATCGACCCTTGTTTGGAATGAAGGTATTGTAAAATCTGTAACGCGATTAAACATGAGTGTAGATAATGGTATTCGGGTTGTGCAATGGGGTGTGGTACGGTAGGAAAACAGAAAGTTGTATAATTGCTTTTTCCAGTTTTTCCGTTCAATGTGTGCTGCTCGTATTGTTTTAATCAATGGTTTCATAAAGGATTCGGCTTGTGAGTTTGCTTGCGGCCAAAGCGGGGTGATTCGTTTATGTTGAATATTCAGTTTGTTCAAAAACATCTTTATTTTGAATGAAGTAAAAGGTGTTCCATTATCGCTGACAATCGTTTTTGGTATTCCATATACTGCAATCGTTTTCTGTAGAAAATCAATAAGGAGGTCAGCAGATGTATTATGAATAATATCGACAACCGGAAATTTTGATGCTTGGTCTATAAGGACTACCAAATAAAATCCATTAGTTAAAGGACCAAGGTAATCTATATTAACGGTGTCCCAAACTTCCTCTGGTGTTGGTGTGGTTAATAGTTCGGCTGGTCCATTTTGTTTACCACGGACTTGACAAATTGCACATCGTTTTATATATTCTTCTACTTTAGTGTCTAGACCAGGAAAGTTAACTTTTTTTCTAAGTAATGATTTGGTTTTCTCAAGTCCCATGTGACTATTATAAGCAAGCTGTATAACCGTAACTTCCAGAGAAATTACGTTTATACAGCTTGTTCTAGCGGACAATTCGGATGTAATAGTTTATGCCAGGTATTAGTAGTAATTAACTCTGTAAGTATTTGTAGAATAGGATCAGCTTTAGTTTCTCTTTGAATATCCAAAGAAGTGAAAGGGCTTTAGGATATGCGTACTCAGCTGTAAAATTGACATATTTTTCTAGCCCTTCGTCCTCACAAGGGTCTACAGGGTGTCGACTAGAATAATCAGATATATTATTTTTTCCTTTTACGTAGTGTAGATCAAAAGAATATCCCTGTAATCGTAAAGTCGTACGCTCAATGCGAAGTGGTACTGTAGCGTTTGGGTTGTTTAAAATCTTTACAATAGCTTCATGGTCGCTGTACATTTTAAAAGGGTGTCCAAATAGGTATGTTTTGTTATGCTCGCTGGCGTATACTATAGCTAAACATTCTCTTTCGAGCGTAGAATAGCGTTTTTGTACAGCCGATAGAGCTTTCGAATTATAAGATATTAGTTTAAAGTCTTGTTTATTTGGAGTGTTTTGAAAAATGACTGCCGATATGTCTACAAGACTTGCATCAGTGAAGACAGTAGTCTCTTTGTTGGGATCGAAGTATCCGACACATGAGTCCAATATCATAGCGTTTTTTAGTTTGTCGAATGCACGCTGACACTCAAGGTTCCAGTTCCATAAGGAATCTTTATGCAGAAGGTTTCTCAATGGATAAGTAATTGTACTGTAGTGTACTGTAGTAGTAGTGTAGTGTACTGTAGTAGTAGTGTAGTAGTAGTGTAGTGTACTGTAGTAGTAGTGTAGTGTAGTAGAATGAAACGTTTAAAATAGTTCATAAGCCCGAGAAAACTTTGGAGAGCTTTAGTGTTTTCTGGTGTTGGCATGTTCTTGATATTATAAAGTTTTTCCGGATCTGGTTGCATTTGACATAATAAAATTTGACTTTTTCTTTTCCAAATAAACATTTTTCAAAATTTTAGAGTTAAACCTCTCTGTTTAAATCTTTCTAATACTTTATGTAATATTAAATCGTGCTCTTTTCTATTCGAAGCGAAAATTAGAACAACGTCAGCAATGTTCAAAGTACCTTCTATTTCTTTTAAAACTTCTCGTAAAGCGTTTTGTAGTTCCTCCTGCGCGGAGTTTACTCCAAAATTAAGTCTTTTAAAACGTTTAATTTGAGTTTCGGATTGAAAAGTAGTTATTGATCTGGATTCCTGTGCAAGTTCGAGCTAGTGAAATGCCTTCATTAAATCTAGTTTCGAGAAAACGGTGGAGTCTTTTAGTTTTATAAAAACATCGTCCAGAGTTGGAGTTGGAAAACGCATTCTTCCAATAGCTTTGTTAGCTGCTCGCATGTCTACGCAAATTCTTAGGTTGCCGTCATTTTTTGGCACAATTACCATTGGACTTATCCAGGGTGTCGCTTCGTCTGTTACCGTTTCAATTATTCCTTCTGCTTCAAGTTTTGCAAGTTCAACTTTAACCTTTTCTCTAAGTGCAAAAGGAATTCTTCTTTCTCTTTGTGCGACTGGTAATATTTTCTTTCATTAATTTTCAATTTTACTTAGTAGTTGGAGAGTTTTCTTATTTTACCGCTAAAAACAGAATTTTTGTATGAGTTTATAAGTGGCACAGTGTCACGAAATGGTCATCAACCTTAACCTTATGTCCCGAGAAAACCCTTTGGTGGGATGATAGCCCACATATAGTAGATCACTTAGATATAAACTTGGAAATCGAACTATGACGTCCGAGAGAGATATTTTAGTTTTTATTTTCTTCGATTCTGGCATATCAGAATTTAAACGAGATGATAGGAATTTGGCATTTTTTCAGTATTTATAGAGCAAAAAGTTAATTTTCCCATATATTTCTATAAGACATATAAACAAAAACATATTTTACAATAAAATTGATCCTTTTTATTCTAAAATGAATGTTTGCTGTTGAAATCAATCACACAATTCAGAAGACTTTTTTCTTTGATTCATATTCTGGATGGCTTCTTGCCCGTTTGTAACGCTCCCAATGGGAACTGAAGTCGTGATGAAGAGATTCTGTAGCTTGCTCTGAGAAAATGCCAAGACTAGAATTGTGTCTAAGGATGAAATCCTTCAGGTGGAAAAACACCGCATGTGCTTTGGAAGTGACTGAAGTATTTGGCAACTTCAGGTACAACTCCTGAAACTGTAAAATTTTTTGTTCAAAATCGGGGCTCAAGTGATTTCCAAAGCAAGCATTCACCACTGAGTCAAAATGTCTCAATATTTCAACAAATGGCACGGCAAGAAAAAATGAGCTTTGCTCAGCTAAACTTTAAAGGCGATCAGTGTTTTTCAAGAGCTTGCGGCAGTCATTCCCTGCAAATTGGCCACCATGAAAAGACTGCTCTTGAATATGAAGGGCTGCTGGCCATTCCTTTGCTGCGGGCCAAATCTGGCATAAACTTTTGTAGAGATGGTTAACGACTCCAAGAAGCAGATGAAGTTCCATGGGAGGAATGATGTCCAAAATCAGTGTGTCATCTGGCAGAGTCATTATGGGTTCATGGATGACGTTTTTGAAGTCTTTTGCTCTCCTTGCATTGGCACCACTGGTTTGAAACTGCAGAAAGTTTTCTCGAATTGAACCAAGTGCTCTGAGACTTCCAGAGCAACTCAAATCTTTTGATTCTGCATCACACCATGAACAAGGATGTGCACTTGCATGGGACTGAAGACCACAAACAAGATTGGCGACTTTCATGTCACAAGAGATTATGTAGGAAAGTTTGTGAAATTGAAGAGAAGAAATTATGCTTTTCAAGTTGTCATAACTCTCTGGCAGATCTTCTGAAATTGCCACCAGAAGTTGCTGTTTGACTCCTGTGTCTTTAAGCCCTCGTTTTGGTGGTGGAGAATTTGAATCTGTGTTTCTGGCAATGATTCCAAGAGATACTTTCAAAAAACCCACCTCCATCAATGCCAATCTTCATCAGCGGATCTCCTGAAACATTCCTTACTTTGATAACGTGATTTGCAAGACTTCCTACATCTGGGCAAAAAACAAGCAGTTGTGAAGGGTGCTGGTCATCATTCTTTGTAGAATCTTGTATGGCCTTGGTCTCAAAATGCTCAGAAAGAGATTTCCCGAAACTGTCGAATTTTTCTCTGAAATTTTTTTCTACAATCCGGAGAGGTGTAGCTTGGTTCAAAGATGATGCCAATTTGGACATGCCACGATTTGATAATCTAGTTCCAATTTGGACTCCAACCATGTCTTGTGCCGTGAGCTTGGGCACAGCAGGAAACAATACTCTTGCACTTGATGGTCCTAAAGAACATTTAATGGCCGAGGTTAAAATTTTCTACATTTACATTTTAAAAGAAATTTATAAGTGATTTATGCTTAAATCTATATTGCTTTACCTGGAACAACGGGAAAACGATTTCCTCCAAGTGGTTGACTTAGCCGAACAGTGCCATGAGGTGATGGAGTTTTATTAGCAATTGTTAATGATGCTACCCTCTCTGCCGCAATGCGATCCCTCGAAGCAACTTCCACTAAATTTTGCCTTAATGTTCCTGTTGTGCAATTGTGAGGCAATCCACGACCAATCACAGAGAAGCAATCAGAGCACCTTTTTCAAAGGAACTTTGGAAAAGGTGCTCTGAGCGTCATCCTTTGGAACCACCGAAACCCAAAGAAAATTCAATGCTTGAATTTTCTTTGGGTTTTGGTGGTTCCAAAGGATGACGCTGATTCATATTTGTCCTTGCAGCTTGACAAATCAAACAATTACAAGAAATATTTGTTGCAGCACGCTGAACTGAGATGGTGCTGAAATCAAAGAGCCTTGGGATAGGTGCATCCTCCCCTTCTTCTTGTCTGCGAATAGCCACACGACATCTTTCACAAATTCCACAAGGGATTTGAAAGTTTGAAAAATCAAGCTAAATTTTGAGGACTGTGCAAATTTTCTCCACTAAAAAACTTGTGATTTCTCGATTTGCCTTCTTCAAACATCGGAAACAAACACATTTTCGGTTTTCTTCATGATTTTTAGCTTTGTTAGGCATTTTATCAAACTTTCAATGTGTCTTATTTGAAAAAAACTGAATGTGCACCCTTTTCCCGGAATTAGCTAAATTGAAAAACAAACAAAAAATAATAATGATTTCAAAAAACCTGCTCCAATTGGTTATATAATGTCTTAAATAGTACTCTAAGCAACAAAACATAAAAAATGCTGTAAAAATGCCAAATTCCTATCATCTCATTTAAATTTTGATATGCCAGAATTGAAGAAAATAAAAACTAAAATATCTCTCTCGGACGTCATAGTTCGATTTCCAAATTTATATCTAAGTGATCTACTATATGTGGGCTATCATCCCATCAAAGGGTTTTCTCGGGACATGAGGTTAAGGTTGATGGCCATTTCGTGACACTGTGGTGGTTCTAATCGTTTTGGAGCGTTTAGAAGGAGAGTATTGTTTAATTTGCTTAAGTTCTGCAAAGAATGGCAAACTTGTTGTTTACTGTCGTCATGGTTATTTTGTTCTCTTTGGCCTTTGTTTAAAAGTTTCTTATTGACGTCAGTATTTAGTTGTATTTAACCGAGCAACTTAGCGTCGTTTCCAGATAACAGATTTTTGTGGTGTGTTTTAACCACGTGGAATGTGGACTGACGAAATTTGGTTTGACTTTCTATCACGACATTGATCTGTCCTTCTATTTTGAGCTTTGGATTGTTCCCCGTAAGTAATAATCAGTGTTTTAGATTTTTGTAGTCAAAGTGGTCTTTTAAGGAAGTTGTTTATCTTTTCAAATGTTTTAAAGTTTAGAATGTTTATTGAAGCTTCGGTGTCTATTAGAACGGTTTTTGGAATATTTTCTATGTTAATCGTTACCTCGAAGTTCTCAAGTTCGTCGTTAGATATCTGTTTAGCATTGACAGAGTAAAATTCTCCTTCGTTTAACTTTGACTGAGGATTTTCGGATTCATTGATTCTTTGTAAATTGTATTTTATTTTCGGATTCATTGATATCATTGTAAATTGTTTCCGTTTAGCTATTTTTAAAGTGATTACATACCAAACTCGGAAAAAGCACCCCCTCCCCTTTTTTTTTAATATTTTGTAAATTATAATTTCTGAAACAGTTTTAACTACTAAATGTATTATGCTTATCTTGTATTAATTTCTGTAGGTAAATTTGCTGTAAAGCTCATAAAATAAGTTTGTTTCAAAGCTGATTAAAGTCTAAAAATGTTCGAATTGACCCTGAAAATATGAAAGTATGTACAAATTACCTTTTTTTGCAATTTTCAAGGCAGTTCCCTGGTAGCTTAAAGTCATTTAAATTTAAATTTTTTGATAGTTTTGATTTTGATATGTTACCTCACCCTTTTTTTAATAATGCCAATGGAAAATCTGATTTTTAAGTTTTGACCAAAGTATGACACACCCTATTAAACATTGCAGAAAGTCCTTGCTACTTTTTAACAACAAAACATGGAAGAAAAACTTAGCACACAACTGTTTTGATGTCACAATGGGTTGTTTTGACGGTGCAGAAGTTTGTGAACTGGTAAGCCTATATATATATTTATTAGACTCACTACCTAAAATAATAAATAATGAAGACGTTGGACAATATCGTGACGATGATTTGATGGTACTTTGTAAAAAAACTGGATCACAAATTGATAACCTACGAAAAAATGTAGTTAAAGTTATAAAATTGATTTGTAAACGTTAATTATAAATGTATAGTATCCCCTCCCCTCCCCCTCCCCCTAACACTCCAGAAAAAGTATATATTGGCCTAGCAGAAGGTGAATGGAAGAAAAGATAGGCCAACCACAAACACTCATTCACAAACAAAAAGATGAAAAATTCAACCACCCTTTCAAAGTATATATGGCAGATAAAAGAAAACTTAAAAATAACACCAAAATTAACCTGGTCAATAGTTAAACAAGTCCCCGCCTACAGCAACGCCTACAGCCTTCATGAAAAATTTTGCATAATATCATACAAAGGTACGCAAGAATTATTAAATAAAAAAACAGAAAAAGTATTAAAGTACCGTCATGAAAACAAGTTCTTGCTTGACGACCACGAGCCCAAAGATTAAAAAATCAAGCCATGTTTGCAAATAGTAACATTTTATAATTGTTTTTGAACGTCACGATGTTTATCAAAAGTATATTTTTTAACAAAAAAAAGCAATGTGTTTTTTACCTGATGATTGCTAAACGCATGAAACTTTTATTAGTAAAAACTATGTAGTTATTTTTTATTTAATCATGTCAAAAGATCAATTATATATATATATATATATATATATATATATATATATATATATATATATATATATATATATATATATATATATATATATATATATTAGGGTGGAGCGATTTTAAAAATTTTCGAAATTTGATTAGCCTGAACTGCGAATCGATGTCTTTTGGTAAAAAAAGAGCCTTACTTTTTTTTTTTTTTAATGATTTTTTTTTAATGATTTTTTAATGAATTTTTATAAATGAGTTTTAGAGGTTCCTCTTTGGATTCTAAATTTATGACGGATCCTAATATTGTTTCTTCTAAATTATATTAACCTGGTACTCAAAAGAAGCAGAATAATACGCTTATTTTGAATATAATATTTTTTTTAATTTAAAATTGAAGAGAAAAAAATGTCGTTTTTTTCATTAAAAAACCCCCGTCTTCATCAAAACAGGGGTTATAAGGTATATTTTTGCAAATTTTTTTTTCACTAAAAATTTTTTTAAAATAAAATTATTATTGATAAAACAAGCATTTTTTTCTGCTTTTTTTGAGTCCAAGGTTGATATAGTTTAGAAAAAAAAAATTCAAAAATATTAGGATCCGTCAAGGATTTAGAATCCAAAGAAGAACCTCAAGATCTTATCAAAACCAAAAAATATTTTTTTACTTTCATCTTATAATTAATAGACATCGATTCGTGTCTCAGGAATATTGATTTTTAAACTTTTTTTTTTTTTGCTATGAAAATCGCTCCACCCTAATATATATATATATATATATATATATATATATATATATATATATATATATATATATATATATATATATATATATATATATATATATATAATAGATATATATATATATATATATATATATATATATATATATATATATATATATATATATATATATATATATATATATATATATATATATATATATATTATATATGTATAATATAAATATAATATATATATATATATATATATATATATATATATATATATATATATATATATATATATATATATATATATATATATATATATATATTATATATGTATAATATAAATATAATATATATATATATATATATATATATATATATATATATATATATATATATATATATATATATATATATATATTATATATATATATTATATATGTATAATATAAATATAATATATATATATATATATATATATATATATATATATATATATATATATATATAAAATAGATAAAAGCTCTTTAATTCCCAAACCAGTGTATCTTAAAAACGATATTGTTTTAGTTGAAGATATTACACAAAAGCTTAACAACCCAGATAATTCCATCAAATTCAATAGGCATATCTAAGAAAGACCGCACATACCTATTTATTGGAAAAATAACGTTTTATCAAAAAGGGCAAAGGTATGACTTTTATATAGCTTCTCTTTTCTTTGAAAAGAGAATTAATTTACACTTAAGACAATTGTCTTGATAATTCAACTTGCTACAAACAGAAAGGACATAAAGCTTACTGTATTAAGACTATACAAATTATTAAATAAACCAAAAAAGATCTCAATTATACCATAGTCATAGTATTTAACTAGTCTGGAAACGGGGGCTGTTTTCTATAGATTTCGTAAAATAACTTGAGCTTTAAGGGGTGACCTGACTGAGAGTGCATCAAATGTTTTTAAGATGACTTTTTGTAGCGCAGACTTTGAAAATTTTAATGAGTTCGATGCTGTTTTAGCTGCTATTGAGTTGCTATTGTTGCAGGCAGATCTCAATTTTAGTTCAAATATTAGACTTCCTATATTAATTTATCCTAACCAAAGTGAAGAAAGAATATTTATGTATTTGTTTTGCAAGAAACGATGTATATCGCAAGGTGACTCGTCACCTCAACGCCAAGCACAAAGGCAAGATTACTGATAAACATTTAGTAAAGAATAAAAAAAAGCAAAGATTATTCTTCATCTTATTAGGTTTTAAAATTATTTAAGCTAGATTGCAGAAAAACTTCAGATAAATGGTACTCTGCTATAAGCTGAATTTAAACATTTAAAATCAAGCATAAATATTTCAAGTATTTCCAGAAGAAGTCATTATAGCTTTGTTCCAAGTAAAAATATAACTGATTCATTTGATGGGAATGCTGAAATTTTTTACCGCTGATTAATCACTACTATATGCTATGGTACTTATGCTACTTGAAAACATGAAAGAACATAAAGTAGCATTCAAAACATGAATGCTACTTTGAAACATAAAATAAATTGTTTTGAAGTAGTAAATCTTGTCTTTGTTTATCTGACTGGTACCTCTTTTATCAATGATATTATAACGTTTAAGCATGTATCTCTCTACATTACTAAACAAAACATTCTATTATGACTTAGTGGGAATGTTTTTGAAACCTCTAATTTTACAATTGGTTTTAGTTCTAACATACCTAAGATGTATCATGAGCATGAGAAAATCTTCTAAAATTAAGCAAAAATTATATATTAAATATTTGAAAACAAAAACACAAGAAAGTAAGATTCTTTACAAAAGTTATGTAAGAAAGTTTGAAACACAGAGAAAGAATTTAAAAAAACTGTACTACTCCAATCTACTTGAAATGAACAAACATAATTCTAAACGCACCTGGGAAGTTCTAAGAGTAGTTACTGGCATGCAAAAAACAAAAACATGCACACTGCCTGTAATCTTAAAAATTAATGAATATTTGTCCAATCCAACAATGATATGTGATGAATTAAATAAATTCTTTGTGTCAGTTGGCCCAAATCTTGCAAAAAAATTCCTTTTGAGATAAACAAAATAGATAACTTCGATTTTCCGTTAACTTTGTCTCTAACTTCCTTTGAATTATCTTTTGAAGCAATCTTTTAAAATGCCAAAGTCAATAAATCTGTCGGTCACGACGGTATATATAGTAATGTGATCATTGACTTGTATGAACATTTGAAAGATGTACTATTTAAAGTTTTACACTGTTCAATAAAACAGGGAATATTTCCAGACCATCTTAAAATAGCCAAAGTCACACCAATTTTCAAAGAAGGTGGTATTACAAATCTTACAAATTATCGCCCAATCTCTGTTTTACCTGTTTTTTCTAAAGTGTTAGAGAGAATCCTATATAACGTAATTTATAATCACCTTTCTTTAAACAATGTATTTTATACTAACCCAGGGTTGTCCAACCTTTTTACAGCCTGGGCCATTATTTTATTTTGATGACAACACGAGGGCCACAAATTAAGAAAAATCATTTTGTTTAAACTTTTAATTTAAAACAACTAATTCCATTTCAATATTGTCAAAAAAAATGTATTTAATGGGAAACTTGGCATTGTTTATTTTTACACAATTGATCAATGTCAGCTTTTATAGTGGACGATGAAATCCGAAGTGTATCAGTGAGGTGTTCATCTTTAAACCTATGTCTCTGCTCTGATTTAACATGTTTCATTCTTGAAAAAAATTGTTCACAGATGTATGTGCTTCCAAAAAGGGAAAAGTATTTCATAGCGTGTTTGCACAAATGTGGATAAACTTCAATGTTCATGTATTTTTTATAAAGTTCTAACAATTCAACATCTTTGTAAGCATCTTTCAAATCTTTATTGTTTTGTAGTTCTATTAATTCCATTTGAAATTCATCTCTTACTATCTCAACTTTAATGGAAAATGGATGTGAAAATAAGTCTAACTCATTCTTTACTTCTTTAAAATCACAAAATCTTGTGTCAAATTCATCAATTACTTTTAAAATAAGATTACAATATTTTTCATAGTCAACTGTGTTGGTATTTCTTTCTGACAATGTTTTAAAATGTGATTTTGACTTAATTGTTGTTTGAGAAGTTTCAATTTCAAAACAAATGTTTCTACATTTTCATATAATTTACTAATAAGTTGATCTTTACCCTGCAACTTGATATTTAATTCCATTAACATCTGTGTAATGTCAACTAAAAATGCCAAATCATTCAGCCAGTCATTATTTTCAAGAAAGCTTGTGTCTTTATCTTTAATTTTTAGAAACTTTATTATTTCAGGTATTAATATCCAAAATCTTTTCAAAGTTGCAGCTCGACTAAGCCATCTAACTTGGCAGAAATAAATTACATCTTCTGCCTCACTTCCACAATCCTCAAGCAATTGTTTGAACTGTCTGTGATTAAGGCCACGACTTCTTATAAAATTAACAGTTTGGATAACAATTTCCATGACTTCTTTCATTTCTAATACTTTTGCACATAACTGTTCCTGATGTATAATACAGTGATATGAAAGAATGTTGTGATTAATGGATTTCTTAAATAATGCCACAAATCCAATATTTTTTCCTTTCATTGAACTTGCTCCATCTGTAGTGACACCAGAGAGTTTTGTTTCTGGCAAATCAAACTTTATCATTGTTTTTTTGACTTCAGAAAGAATATCTTCCCCTTTAGTAGTGCCTTTCATGTGCCTGAAATCCAACAGTTCTTCAATTATTTCAAAATTACTTGTTATAAATCTAATAAAAATAGCTAACTGAGCCGTATCACTTCTATCTGTTGATTCATCAAGTGCCAGACTATATGCTTCACACTTACATAGTTTTTCTTTCAATGCTAATTCAATATTCTTTGATAGATCTTCAACCCTTCTTGCAATTGTCTGGTGTGAAAGACTGAGATCTTCAGCAAATTGTATTTTTTCAGGGCATACCTCATTACAAAATTGTTTTATAGAGTTTTTTATTAAATCTCCAGTAGAAAAAGGTTGACCACTTTTTGCAATATTTTCTGCAATTAAAAAACTTATTTTGGTAGCACTGTATGAGCTAATTACTTTACTTTTCATTATTGATTGTTGCCCGATAAAATTTTTCTTTAGCAGTTCTACCTTATCAACACGAAATTGGCCCTTGAATTTATCATAAGTTGCTGCATGTTTTGTAGTATAGTGTCTATTAACATTATACATTTTGCACACGGCAATTTTTTCAAAACAAATGAGACACATAATTGAATTATTTTGCTCCATTACAAAATACTCATTTGTCCAAGATGGGTTAAATATACGACCTCCTCTTCCACTTTCAGTTTCAGCTCTACGTCTTTTATTAGCACTAGCAGAAGCCATATTTAAAAAAAAATCAATATAACTATGGTTCCGCTAACCAAATAGTCAATACCGTTTTAACCGGTTTTATAAAAAAAATAAGGCGGTAGTTTTAACCGTGTTGCAATTTTAAAAAAAATCTGATTTTTAAAATTATATTAAAAAACTGCCCTAATTCTGAGCTACAGAAAAAATAGTTTTAAAAATATAATATTCACTTGATTTTGTTAAAAGTTTTGAATGGTTTTTGATAAGTTAAGAATTGAAAACGCGGGCCATGGCAAAAGACAACAAGGGCCACTTTGTGGCCCGCGGGCCACGCGTTGGACAACCCTGTACTAACCAATACGGGTTCAAAAAAAATACATCAACAGAACACGCGATACTTTATCTTCAACAGAAGCATGTTGCTCATCTCATTAATTTTAAAAACAGATTTACTCATTTACTTGAAATGAAAATTCTTAATATATATCAGCTGAATGTTTTTAATATTCTCTGTTTTATGTATAAATGTAAAACTAACTCTTCCCCAGTTTCTTTGCATAATTTATACAAACTGAAATATTAAAATAAATACAATTTAAGAAATGATAATTTAATTAGTCAACCATTTTTTCAGACTAATTTTGGAAATTCTAGTATTTCTTTTCGAGCAGCTTTTCTTTGGAACAAAATAGTTTTAAAATAACATTTTTATTTTTCTCTGCAATGGAGTTATTTTTCATTCAGAAATAAGCTTAAAGAAATCATTTTGTCACATGATAATATATTGTCATATTTTTAAACGTTATTATTTTAATGTATTATTTTAGTTTATGTTTATTCAATTGAATATTTGTAAGAATATGCACTTAAATGTGATTAAATATATATGCACTTGACTTTATATATATATACTGAATTTTATGAAGTTTTAATTTACGAGCAGTTCTTGATTACAAGCCCTAACGGTCTTCTGCGAGTCTCCGCGTTCTTTTTATATTAACAAAAAAGTCCTAGCTCTATCTTCTACTTATTTCTCATTGAGTAACGTTTTTAACAATCTAATTGTAAATTTTTCCTAACAATCTAATTGTAAATTAAACAATTTTTCTTTGAATATATTATTTTAAGAACAAAAAAAAAAAAAAAAAAAAAAAAAAGCAGTGTTTATCGAATTTGCAATACAATTTCGTAGATTGTACATTGTAAAAGATAACCTGAAAGCTTTCAAGGTTTAAAAAAGTCAAACTAAATTGATATATAAAGAACATCAATTATAAAACACTATTTTGGAACAAGACCATTAAAGAGAAAGTGAGATGACTTGAAACTACTAAAACGGCTATTTTCATAGCCACATATTTTTTAAAAAATATTATTGGTATATAATTAGCTCCTAGAGTAGTACAATAAATGCTTCATGTATTTTATGGTGTAGTAACTTTATAATAAAATAACAATACAAGATTGAATAATAAAAATAATATAATTCTCTTTTTAATTTTAAAATAATAATGCTATTTTACATATATAAAAAATATTTAGTTTTGAACAAATCTAAAAACATCTTTTTTTTTTGGCATGACTTAATACTATATTGCTACCATTTTATAATACCCGTGTAGCTAAATACATTGCATTTCCAGCTACTAAAAATATTTTTTATTTTATTATTATTGAAAGTCATTAAAAGATGGGTTACCATTGCAAGCACTTAATGATTGATAGTGTCAGAAATAATTTTCAAATAAGCTATTTCAATAAAAAATTTTAATACAGCAAAAACTTATTACTTAGGCAGCAAGGTTAACACTTTTTAATAAATATTTTGTTAACTTTATATGCTCAAAAGTAAGTTTAGGTAAAATACAAAAGCCACATTCTCTGTCTTCATAGAATATATAAACAATATGGTTCCAAAGTATAAACTTACCATCCTTACATATATATATTTTTTTCGTATGTTTTAAGTTGAATAAATCATATTTAAATAAGAAAGAAACAGTTTGTCTTATTTTAATGTAGTGGATTAGGTATAAAGGAATCATTTAAAATGCCTTTTGAACAACTTGCGATTTGCAGAAACATCGCAAGTTACAAGCGACGACTTTTAAGAAATTTAGTTTACAAATTTTGACTGCTTTTTATAGCAAAAGAAATGTTTGTCATGCAGTGGCACCAGTTGTAAAAGTCAGCTAGATTAGTCAAGTTTATCATCAAACATCATAGTGCTGCTGACTTTGAAACTTGATAATTAACATGAATTATCTTTTTTTAGTTGAAAATAACCTTAGATTTGAAGATATTTTTCTGCATTCAACAAAATAAATAATAAATTATAGCTTAAACTTAAAATCAAGATTTGAAATAAAATTCTGTAACTTAATTTAATACACTGTGATTTTTAAATAGAATTTTGTAACCTTCTTTTAATACAATGTACTTTCTTTCTATTTAATTGAATATTGTTTGATTTATGTATGTTAGTGATACAATATTTTATAGCAGACTTTTGCATCATCTTTATGGCATCAAGTATATTTTTTTATTTGCTGTTATATAAATTGCAATAGAGCATAATAAAAACAAAAATTTATATACGAGCTTTTGAATTTTAGTTTAATCAGCTTTGATATACTTGCTACTTTTAAAGTATTTATTGAAATCATAATTTTTTTTTTATTAAATAAGTTTTTTACTTATTAATAAAAATAGAAAAACGTTTTTGCACAACATTTGTTAGTATTGCAGTTGTAAAAAAGGTAGAAGTTCTACCGCAGGGTAGAATATGTGATATGGCCTTTGTAAAGCAAAATTTTCTACCTTCCAAGGTAAAAAGTTAAATCTTTATTTATAAACACACATCCAGTTGAGTACGAAAAGTTCCATTCATTACATTACCTAAAGTTTAAAATTAGTCATACTGGATCAGCATCTGCTAACAAAGAAAATATTTGTATTTCTGCTGCTGTGAGGGATTTTATAAAACCAATAATTATAGATTTTGGTAGTGATGTTCTTTTAGAAAAGTGTTTGCACGGCAAAACACAAAATCTTAATGAAGCGCTGTATCAATTGATTTAAAAGCGTTGTCCAAAAGATATATTTGTTCAAAGAACTGCCCTATGTATTGGAGTGGCATCAGCTGTTCTTTACTTTAATGATGGATAACAATATTTGAAGAGATTATTTGATGAGTTTGAAATAACTGTAGGTTGAAATTTACATAATTTTTGTCTTAAGAATGATTTTAAGCGTATTTCTAAAGCCGAAAAATAATGTACAAGTTAAGTGAAATCAAGACGTAAGAAATTAAGAGCTATACAACAAGTTGCGATTGAAACGAAAGATTAGAAGGTGCGCTTTAGGGAAGCGGAGGTTTTTAAACAATTTTTATTGTATTTATTTTTAAAATAAGTTTTTCTCAAAATTATGTTTTATAGCATGTCGGCAGGGATATTTTTCAAACCGATAACCGATTTGAATTGAAATTTAGCACGCTTGTTTGTATCACATGTATTTACAACCCCTACTAGAATTAAGTTTACAGCTTATTGTGTTATATTTTTGTGTGCTCAAATAATACTAAAACTTCCAAAAATGACTAAAATGCATATATTTTGACTTTTCCCAAAAACCCAAAGCCCAAAACTTCTAGTTTATGTTGGATTTGCATAAGTAAATGATCAGTTGTAAAAATTTCAGTTCAAATTTATTAACGGTTGCTGAAAAAACCCTGCCGCCAGTTGTTCATTTTTGGCCTTTTGTCAATCAATAATTATGCGCATAATTAATTTTTTGAAATTTTAAAATTTTTACTTTTATTTTAATGTACGATTAAAAATTAAAAAAAAAAGATAAAGTTCACAATTTTTTTAAATGGTATACTACCACCTTAAAGGTAAAATTTTCTTTTCCTTTTAAAGTAGAAAATTATACAACAAATCACTATTTTTAATATAATTTAGGTAATAATTAAGAAATAATTTTTTATCTAAGGTAGATAATTATGCTGTATTAAGAGTATACCACATATCCTACCCTAAGATAGAAATTTCTTATTTTTTAGAGAGTTTTCCAGGAAAATGTGCTTTTAAACCATCTAAAATGATAAAATTGTACCTGATTTATTCTTGTTTCCAGAAAAGATACGTTTCTTTTCTGGAAACAAGAATAAATCAGGTACAATTTTATCATTTTAGATGGTTTAAAAGCACATTTTCAAGATGGATAATTTATATATCACTCTATTTTGATATTATATATCAAGATGGATAATTTATATATCACTCTTTACATTGTGTTGGTATATACCAACACAATGTAAAGAGTGATATATAAATTATCAACTAATCCAGCTAAGTAAACTTTATATAGAATATAAAGTTTATTATGCTCTATTAGCTAAAATTTAAAATAAATATACTAAGCATTTAACGTCCATCAAGTTATACATATTTTCATATAGCATACAACTTAAATGTTTATATGATATAAGCTATATGGTTTGAATATGCATATTCATACCACTACAAACTCTAGCACGTATCAATACATTTATCAACAGTTAATGTCATTAACTGTTGATAAATGTGTTTAGATTTTTGATTTTTTTTAATAATAACTTTTTCTAATAAAACTTTAATGTTTTAAACTTTTGAAGCAAATGTTTTTTGCTAAATGTTTTATTTTCATAATAACTTGTCATCATATTAAATTTCATTTTTACAAGAAAAATCTCTAATAAAATATTGCCAAACTCTCGTCAACCCGCATTCGCAGTGTACCTAAATAGAATTAATTTAAAAGTATTCCTGGCAAACATTGTTAAAGTGGATTTTCAGTGGACCTATATAGGCATTTATTAGCGGTTAATTAGGATTTAGCTCACCGGTTTCATGGTGGACCATTAGTGGCAGCCGCTATAAATAGCAAGTTGATAACTTTCCGACATGTTAATAGTGGCTAGTCACCAGCTAGCAAACTTTTTGCGGCTGCCAAAATTTCTATAGAAAAGTTTCTATAGAAAAAGAAGTCTAAACTTAGTAGCAAATATGAGTAATTATTTTAACTAGAGCTTGAAAATTTCGTAAGTATATTGTTTTTTTTTCAAACTTTATTGTCTTAATTTTTAATTCTTTTAATTATTATATTGTCTTTTTTACATACATACTTTTTTTATATATATATATTTTATTTCGTCACAATATATTTTACATACAATTAACTTTAATTCATGTATACAATTTTAAATAAAAAAAAAGGTAGAAGATTGCAGTCTCATCATCAAGCCTCTTTCATTTGCGACTTTGCAATAAGTGTCACGTGAGCTTAACGTGACATTAAAAATTTCTAAGTAGAAATAAAGCAAATACTTAGAAATACTTAAAAATAAAGCAAATACATCAACCGACTCTTATGGAAATTATTGTAAACTTTTTTTGTATATTTATAATTTATAAATTTAAGTTTTTTTTTTTTATTTATGTTCACAATATTTTTTCTATTTTACGATCGTTGTAAAATAATAAAGGCGTTAGTATGGCAATTAACCTGTGTAAGATTAAGCTGTGATAAGCTGCACAGCAGGTTGCACTATTTTTGCAACCTGCTGCTGCACAAGAATTAACCATGATTTCTAATTTTTGAATATTAAATATTATTTGATCCAAACAACCGTGATTTACTATTTATTTTTGCCCCCATAATGGCTGATTTTTGCTTCAAAAAATACGCGGAAGTTAGACATCTAGTTATTTTTAATATATCATTGTAGGCTGCGACCATTAAGAGTAAGCGTATTTAAAGATCAAAGATAAAAATATTCAAAGTTTATTGTAAGTTGGAAAGATAGCATAAAAAAGTTTAAAAAGCTGATAAAAAGCCAAAAAATGCATCTTTAGCGGCACTTATTTAGCGGTACGTTTTACATTGATTATCATATAATATATTATATTAAATTCTAAATATATTAGTCCATATAATATATTATATTATAAATCCATACCCAATGCAGATACGTTAACTGATACAAAGATGTTGCAGTCCAAACTCAAATCCAGTGCAGTTGCGCCAAATTTTTTAAGATACGGATGAAGTAACAAATCCTCATCAGCCAGTTTGGTTTAGAATTTTTATGTTAATTATAAAACAAATTCTGTTCATTATACGCATTATATTAACTATAATAGTTTGAAATAACATTGCATTTGTTGTTTTAAGGAAATTCCTGAGGCAATTACGAACTTACTAAAATCTCTGATTGGTTTAAGAAAAATAAAATTTCAATATTGATAAAACTAAATAGGTTTTCTTCCACCCGCATTTTGAAAGACACTTACGGCCAAATGACATGCCTTTTCTTTTTATTTGCAATACCTTAATAAATAAAGTAAATATATTTACTTATATATATGTATATATATATATATATATATATATATATATATATACATGTATATATATATATATATACATATATATATATATATATATATATGTTACTTATATATATGTATATATATATATATATATATATATATATACATGTATATATATATATATATATATATATATATATATATATATATATATACATATATATATATATATATATATATATATATATATATATATATATGTATATATATATATATATATATATATATATATATATATATATATGTGTGTGTGTGTGTGTGTGTGTGTGTGTGTGTGTGTGTGTGTGTGTGTGTGTGTGTGTGTGTGTGTGTGTGTGTGTGTGTGTGTGTGTATGTGTGTTTATGAGTATGTATATCTATGTGTATATGTATGTATTTATGTATGTATGTATGTATTTATGTATGTATGTATGTATTTATATGTGAATGAATGTGTACATGTATCTATGAGTGTGTGTATATATGTGTGTGTCTATGTATGTATTTATGTATGTATGTGTGGATGTATGTAATATGTATGTGTGTATATTATTTGTATATGTCTATGTGTTTACTTGTGTTCATACAAATGTTCTGTATGCACATATGATGTTATGTGTGTACATACACGTTAGTAACAAGTATGAACTTCAAAACTAACCTACTTGCCTAAAAATGTCTGACATTGTTCAAAGTTACTAAACGTGGGTCAAAGAAAAAACTTTTACAAAAAAGTGGAAAATATTCATTATATGACAATAAAAATCTTTTTAATTAAAAATTCGACAAGACAATCGTGATATATTAATCAATATTTGACAAAGACAAATTTGATATACTTAAAACAAACAAACAAAAAAATGATAGACTTCATTCAATAATGTATTTATAAAAGTGTTTTACAATGGTTGAGAAAATATAAACTTTAAAGAAAAATGAAAAATTCGTGAAAAAAGACAGTCGTGATTTACTAAAAAGAAGATGCAAAAAAAAAAAAATTTTCTCTAGTGAAGCCTACCATATTTCAAGTTAAATTTGGAGAAAACTTCAAATATTGTTTTTATTACCAAGAAACTATTTGTATGAGTTTACATCAACTTCTATTGACGCATCTAACTTTAGCGGTTCTCGTTACAAGACCTCCAAGTCTATTTTGAGTTTCCGTGTTCTTTATTTTTTCTTTTAATTTCTACCTTTATTTTAACATAATATTTTTTTATTTTCTATATATTTGAAATTAAAATTTTAATGCAATATAAAACAAAAAAAAATTATCTGATAAAAACATCTCAGGGATCAACATTGGAATCATTTCATAGAATCAACATAATCATCTCATAATCATCATCAACAAACATCCCATGGAATCAACATAATCAGACATTGACTATCTACTAAAAATTTTAAAAAACATTTTTAATATATAGCTTAAAACTACCTTAATAAAAATTGTTTAATTTTATCGACAGTTACATAATTTATGCAAAGTTAAACGACAGTTACATAAGTTATACAAAGTTAAGCTTACAGTTACATAAGTTATACTAAGTTAAGTACGCATAAATAACTATGCTGATCGATTTACACATACAAAACCTTGTTTACTAAAAATGAGGTTATCAAAGTTATTTTAACTCAATCTATTTAATATATTTTATATATTTAAATGATCGTTTTGTCACACAAAATGTAATTAATTTTGCATTGCTTATTGCGGACCCCACCTATGGAATAATATTATTTTGAGCAATTTTGATCTAACAACTTTCTTTTACTTTTTCAAACTCAACCTAAAAAAAATATATTCTTTCACTTGATAATATACTAAAATACTTTTAATATTATGAAAATTGTTATTTTTGTTTTTTTACAACTTGAATTTTATTACTTTAATTTTATTTTATTTCTTAATACTTGTCTTTGTTTTGTTTATACTTTATAAGGTTCTAATAAATCTTTTGATCTTCCTTTGGATCATAGCTTATATTTGAATGTTTACAGTTTATACTTTAGGTTCTAACGACAAGATCTTTTGATCTTCTTTTGGATTCTGGTTTGTATTTGAATGCTTACAATTAAACTGTGTGCGCATCTTTACATTTGTATGTGTAAGTTTGTAAATCCAATACTTTTTATTATTTTCTTTAAAATATTTATTCATAATAATCCAACTGTTTATTATGAACAAATGTGTTGAAGAAATCTTAGACAGTTTTATTTTTTATTTTTTTATTATAATAAATGCTTTAATCCTTTTTTTCCCAATGTTGCCATTAAATGGCAACATAATGGCAACAAAAAAAATATAAAACAGGGTTTGATTTTTGAATTTTGGGTTTGTGTTGCCAAATTTTGCCAACACAAACCCGAAATTCAAAAATCAAACCCTGTTTTATTATATATATTTTTTTAAACCCTGTTTTATCTTTTTTTTCAAGTAATGCTCAAGTTTTGCTACATCCTTCTAGGTTTACAAACTATTTCTGTAAAAGATAATCTACAAGTAAATATATATGGAAAAAAAAGATATTTTTTCCAAGAAAACAATGAATACAATTGTTACAACTTGATTTATTTTTCGAACATTTTGTTTAGACAAATATTCAGTAATATGATATCTTTAAATAATTCACTTCTGCGAGCTCAATTTTCATGAACCAATAATCGTAGTAGAACTAGTTTCTATGAATAATAAAAAAAAATAATAAAATTTATACATAATAGACTGTGGTATGCATGTCTATATTTATTTTACGAATCATTATTTAAAAAGCTGGCCTTTGATGTGGACGCTGGTTCATAATTTTTTTTTAACAAAAGAGCCAGTTTTGAAATTCTGACTTCCAGTCATGAACCAAATTTGAAATTTCACCTGTTTCTTGATATCATAAAATTACAACCAAATTAATTTTCAAAGGTAGATTAATTTTTCATAAATTAACACAAACCGCCCAAAAGCAGTTCACAAAATAATGTAAGCGTCTCTAGCAAATCAGATTGTATCTATGTGATTGTATCTTTTTATGAACTTTAGTTAGTAGAAGAATATTTACGAATTTTCTTCATTATAAATCTTGTGTACAACATTAAAATTGCCGACCCCCGTTTGATAAACTTTAAAAATTTTGAAAATTATTTTCATTTATTTTTTTACCGCCGACAAGCATGATCCCAATTAAATCCCATTTTGTATTTTAACATTTTATTTGTTTAGCATTTGAACAGCAAATATTTTATATACGTTTGTTCATTTATTGTTTTATTTTATATACTTACATTTGCTCATATATTGATTTATTTTTTTAACAACAAAAATAAAAGGTTATTTGATAAATACCCCTTAATGCCTTTGATTTGACCGACCTTCTGTAACAATAATGCATTAAAAAAATGACAAAAGCACAAAACACTACTAATGAAAATTAGTAGAACGAAGGCGACAGCAATCTTACTGCCTTGCGTGAGACAAGTGTTTTACAATCTACTGTTTGCTTTTCAAATTACAGTTTATTAAAATATTACGTCTATAAAATTCAAAACAAATATAAAATTGATTATTTCTAGTTATTTTTAAATATTAGTTATATCGAAAATTTAAGTAAAATCGAAAACTATTGAAAACTTAAGTAAAATCGAAAACTATCGAAAACTTATCGAAAATTTATCAAAATCTTGTTTGTATTATAATAAGTTTGTATTATCTATTTTATTTTAATATTTATTTTATTATATTATCTGTTTTATTTTATTATTTATTTTGCTTTATTATCTATTTTGCATAGGAAATAAAAATCTTTAAAAAAATATCCTTTTAGGAATTATTATATTCTCTAATTCTACACTTAGTTTGCGTGGCATACAGGGTACAAAAAAATATTTAATCAGTGAAATGATTGACATAAAAATAAATTATGTCAAACATTTTGTTATTTTTATCAAAGTTTAAGTGTTCATAAGTCGTAAAAGGTTTTCTTAATTTGATATTTGTATAAACTAATACTTGTTTCTTAATACAAAAATTTGCTAAACAAATATAACTGTATTTAAAATGTAATATTTATACATTTTATAACATGTTTGTCCAAGTTCAAATAATATATATTTTTACTTCTTTTTTCAAATAAAAAGTATATATTTTTTTTAAATTTAGATAACCAATATATGATTTTTCAAAAAATAATCAACATATTATCATACTTTCAATCAGAAAAAATGATTGCAATCAGTGTTGCATTTTATTTACTGCGTAAGTATACTTAAGGTACTACTTGTGATAAAAGCATGTATATATGTGTGTATAAATATATATATATATATATATATATATATCAGGGTTGTCCAACCTTTTTACAGCCTGGGCCATTATTTTATTTTGATGACAACACGAGGGCCACAAATTAAGAAAAATCATTTTGTTTAAACTTTTAATTTAAAACAACTAATTCCATTTCAATATTGTCAAAAAAAATGTATTTAATGGGAAACTTGGCATTGTTTATTTTTACACAATTGATCAATGTCAGCTTTTATAGTGGACGATGAAATCCGAAGTGTATCAGTGAGGTGTTCATCTTTAAACCTATGTCTCTGCTCTGATTTAACATGTTTCATTCTTGAAAAAAATTGTTCACAGATGTATGTGCTTCCAAAAAGGGAAAAGTATTTCATAGCGTGTTTGCACAAATGTGGATAAACTTCAATGTTCATGTATTTTTTATAAAGTTCTAACAATTCAACATCTTTGTAAGCATCTTTCAAATCTTTATTGTTTTGTAGTTCTATTAATTCCATTTGAAATTCATCTCTTACTATCTCAACTTTAATGGAAAATGGATGTGAAAATAAGTCTAACTCATTCTTTACTTCTTTAAAATCACAAAATCTTGTGTCAAATTCATCAATTACTTTTAAAATAAGATTACAATATTTTTCATAGTCAACTGTGTTGGTATTTCTTTCTGACAATGTTTTAAAATGTGATTTTGACTTAATTGTTGTTTGAGAAGTTTCAATTTCAAAACAAATGTTTCTACATTTTCATATAATTTACTAATAAGTTGATCTTTACCCTGCAACTTGATATTTAATTCCATTAACATCTGTGTAATGTCAACTAAAAATGCCAAATCATTCAGCCAGTCATTATTTTCAAGAAAGCTTGTGTCTTTATCTTTAATTTTTAGAAACTTTATTATTTCAGGTATTAATATCCAAAATCTTTTCAAAGTTGCAGCTCGACTAAGCCATCTAACTAGGCAGAAATAAATTACATCTTCTGCCTCACTTCCACAATCCTCAAGCAATTGTTTGAACTGTCTGTGATTAAGGCCACGACTTCTTATAAAATTAACAGTTTGGATAACAATTTCCATGACTTCTTTCATTTCTAATACTTTTGCACATAACTGTTCCTGATGTATAATACAGTGATATGAAAGAATGTTGTGATTAATGGATTTCTTAAATAATGCCACAAATCCAATATTTTTTCCTTTCATTGAACTTGCTCCATCTGTAGTGACACCAGAGAGTTTTGTTTCTGGCAAATCAAACTTTATCATTGTTTTTTTGACTTCAGAAAGAATATCTTCCCCTTTAGTAGTGCCTTTCATGTGCCTGAAATCCAACAGTTCTTCAATTATTTCAAAATTACTTGTTATAAATCTAATAAAAATAGCTAACTGAGCCGTATCACTTCTATCTGTTGATTCATCAAGTGCCAGACTATATGCTTCACACTTACATAGTTTTTCTTTCAATGCTAATTCAATATTCTTTGATAGATCTTCAACCCTTCTTGCAATTGTCTGGTGTGAAAGACTGAGATCTTCAGCAAATTGTATTTTTTCAGGGCATACCTCATTACAAAATTGTTTTATAGAGTTTTTTATTAAATCTCCAGTAGAAAAAGGTTGACCACTTTTTGCAATATTTTCTGCAATTAAAAAACTTATTTTGGTAGCACTGTATGAGCTAATTACTTTACTTTTCATTATTGATTGTTGCCCGATAAAATTTTTCTTTAGCAGTTCTACCTTATCAACACGAAATTGGCCCTTGAATTTATCATAAGTTGCTGCATGTTTTGTAGTATAGTGTCTATTAACATTATACATTTTGCACACGGCAATTTTTTCAAAACAAATGAGACACATAATTGAATTATTTTGCTCCATTACAAAATACTCATTTGTCCAAGATGGGTTAAATATACGACCTCCTCTTCCACTTTCAGTTTCAGCTCTACGTCTTTTATTAGCACTAGCAGAAGCCATATTTAAAAAAAAATCAATATAACTATGGTTCCGCTAACCAAATAGTCAATACCGTTTTAACCGGTTTTATAAAAAAAATAAGGCGGTAGTTTTAACCGTGTTGCAATTTTAAAAAAAATCTGATTTTTAAAATTATATTAAAAAACTGCCCTAATTCTGAGCTACAGAAAAAATAGTTTTAAAAATATAATATTCACTTGATTTTGTTAAAAGTTTTGAATGGTTTTTGATAAGTTAAGAATTGAAAACGCGGGCCATGGCAAAAGACAACAAGGGCCACTTTGTGGCCCGCGGGCCACGCGTTGGACAACCCTGATATATATATATATATATATATATATATATATATATATATATACACACACACGTAAATGCATATATGTAAATATTAAAATGAATACTTTATATTATCACATGTAATTTTGTAAACTATTTGTGCCAAATTTGCATAATTGGCAGCTTTTTTGTCGTTTTAATGTATATACTTTGACTCAGCGTTAGGGGAAACATGTGGCGGAGTGAACATACATTGACTGACTGTGAGGGAGAATATGCAGTGGTGTATACCTTCATTGACCGATAGTAATGGTTTGGGCAGGCAGTTTTTAGTTTTTGACTTATTTATTTTTATATAATGTTTATTGCGTATTACCTTGAATTGGCGAAAAAAGCTGCTGATTATGCGAATTCGGCAATTACGCGAATTCGACAGCGTACTTAAAAAGTGCTCAATAAATAAACTAAAGCTATATAATATATATGTTACCGTTACACAGAGTAATAGAAATTCTCTAAGTTGTTAATTTTATGTAGATTTTATGGTTATACTTTATTAAGACGTTGAGCTGTCTTCAAGTTTGAGATGAATTTTTGAGATATAAGTATCTATAAGTATAGACACAGAGAAGTGTACAAACATTGTCTAAATTAAATATGGATAAGCGCAGTTAGGGTACATGCATCAATCGCCCTTAAAATTTGGAAGATCATCTTGCAAATAAAAGGATAGTTTCTACACTTGCGGACGTGAAGAACAATGTTGAAAAAAATGTTTGATAAGAGCTAACCTTAATATTTATATTAACAAAAACCAAATTTAATAATGATTAGTATTTTATTTATTTTAAAAAATTATAAAAAATTCTATTAATTTTTTTCCTAATTTTTTTGCCAAATCAACTACTAAAATAAGTCCAATTCTTTTTTGTCAAAACTGGCTACCTTTGTTTATTATAACTGGATATCATATTTAGAACTTTAGCAAAATTATAAAGATTAAAGACGAACAGGTTTTTTAGTATATTCATGAAAAACAGTCAAACAGTTGTATGATTAAGGCTTTTTTATTCTTTATGCGAAGGAACAGCATTTTGTTTACCATGCAAAGTATTTCCTCAATGAAACATTGCTGCGTTGGCATCTGATGGTTGTAAAAATCGGAAAAACATAAAAAATATTCTTGTATCTGGTGACCATAAGAAAGCCACGATGATCTACCTAACACAAAAATTGAATAAGAGCGCAATAGATGTAGAGTTAAAAGAACAGCCTACAAAAACTGCAAAACATTACTTCAATATTTTAGAACGAATAGTAGCAGTAAAAAATTTTTTAATCTGAAAGAGGTTTGTCAATACAAAGTCATGACGAAAAGTGAGGCTCTCTACACAAGATGGAAATTTTATGGACCTCATAGAACTAATTACAAAAGTATTTCTGCTTTTAGATAATGCAGGTTTTTCTATTGAAAACATCAGTATACAATCATAAGATAACGCTTCAAACATGCATGAATAATATATAAAGCTTACAAGCACAAATAAAAAGAATGCATTAGCGGATTTCGCCTCTTATGCAGCGCATTCTTTAAATTTTTTTTCAGCGCTTTGATTAAGTTAAAATATTTACCGGAGATAAGTGTTTACTGGAGATAATGATCTAGCACCAATTATAACTATTTTAGGTGGTAAAACAAATAATGTAAACAAACAAAATAATGAATTTAAAAATACAAAAAGCTCCCGTATGTCTTGGTCTCTCTATTTCCTTTGTGGTTTTTATGACCTTCTCTAACAGTTTTTTTATTTGAGCATGTTTATAACTTTCAATAGTAGTTACACCAGAAATTCTTTTTCCAGATTTATATGCAATTTACGCGAGTTTTTAATTCTCCATTTTTGTAACAAATAAAGTGATGCTACATCTGATAGTTGCTTTTTGTTTATCGCAAAAAAGGTATAAGTCCAGGACATGTGCCATCTTCAAACAGACTTTAATTTTTATTTAGCTCAAAAGTTGTGGTTTATGATGATTTACTTACAAAAACTTTATGATGATTAACTTTTTTTTAAAAGAAATAGTTAAAATGGTTTAATAAATAAAATGGCTCAAAAAAGTGAAATTCGTACTAATTTGAATTGAAAATAATATTTTGTTTGCTTACCGGCACACATTTTTCAACCACTAGGTGTTAATGTTTGTTTCTATATCAAAACGTTTTATGAAGAGAAATAATTTATCAAAAAAACTCTTTAGCTTTAGTAAAATTTTCAATTTTATAAATTTTAAATTTTTATTTTCAATTGAAATCCATAAAATCAATCAGTCAATATTAAAAAGTGTTAATACGTTTGAAACACCATCATCTCAACCTGGGTCTTTGTTATTTCAACCAGCAGAATCTATTCTAGTACGATCCCCACCAGCACCAGTAACTACACTCAGTAGCTACACCAGCACCAGTAACAACACTCAATAACTACACACATCTCAGTCACTTCTTTCTGATCAAACTCAACCAACATCTAGTTAACGTTGTAAAAACGTTGTAAAAATGTTGTAAAACATTAGCTTCAAAGTCAACTCGTCTGCAATTAACCTTCATTTAAAAGAAAGAAAAAGTTGAAAAGTAACTGCCATCTGCAATTGTTTGTGTCAACATTGCAACAAAACTTTTATATCTAACGCAGCA